TGCCTGCCTTGGTATGCTTTGGTGAACACCCTCTTTCGTTAAATTTAGCTGCACCTCCTGTCTGGGAATGTCGGCTGCAGTTCTTGGCGAAGCTTTCCCCTGCCGATGACCAGGCGAAGGGAAGAGGGAACACAAGGGAAGCCCTCCTGCTCAAGGGATGCGAGTGCCTGACCCCGTGAGGTCAACGAGAACGCAGCCGAAATAGAGGTCCAAAAGGCAGACTCCACGGCGCACGGTGTAGCCTAGCTTTCAGCCCCGGCAGGATGCGGAGAACACGGAAGTGTCTGCGGTGCCCACGCAGCACCTTTTCCTGGTGCTCGAGGCAATCAAGAGAGGGGTTCCCTCGCCTTTGCTTCGCTTTCTTTCTTTCTTTGCTCCACGTTTAGCCTTGAGGCCATCAAGGCTCTTTGGCCGCTCTCTGGTTCCTTGGTGAAACTGAGAGAGGCGCGAATTTTCAATTCCCAGAAGCTGGGGCTGAGATGGCTGAGGCTTCTGCCATTCCTCCATGGCTTTTCTGCCTGCTGTCGGAGTTGGCCTGAGCTTCTGCCTCTAGCGTCCTATGAGAATCTAGACTCTAGACACATACACACACACACACACATATATATATATATATATATGTAAACACGCAAGAATCGGTCTCAACTCGAGACTCCACTTCTTTCGCGGAAAGATACATTCTGTCGAAGGCAAGTATGCCCAGAGCATCGCCAGCCACTTGGAGAAGTTCAAAGGTGCCGCTGGACACCTGAAGGATTTTTCAGTGACGCTTTAAAGCACTTGCGACTTGGGAGACCTTGGCGGCGGTGGCGGCGGTGGTTTCGGCGCAGCAGCGGCGCGCTGTCGCCTCGTGGCGGCCGCTGCGGAGGCCCGGATGCCAAGTAGCTTCGGAGGAGAGCAGTGGCAGGAGTCGGACCGAAGCCCAGACTGTCAGAGGTGAAGATCCTCCAATGGACCGCCGGTGCCCTGCCTTATGGCTATGCGACACAGTCGGTGAGACAAGCAAGCCCAGGGTTGGATCGGACATCCGGCCAGGCTGACAACCAAAACTTCTTGCATCAGTTTCATCTGCAAGATGACAGGTCCTGAAGAACAACTTGGAAGACAAGGAACTCAGGAAATGGGTGAGTCATGGTGACTCATGAAGATGCGAAAAGCCAAGCGATTCACGTAGACCCCTTTCCTTGCCAGATTCCTCCAGGCCTTGAAGGCTGCCACACGTAGGAGCCAGCAGAGCCTTCACGAAGAGGTCGAATCCTTGGAGGAAGCATCCATTGGGCGGAAGTGACGGCAGGGAGGGACGGATGCCCAGGCCGGCAGTCTTGTCGGCTAAGAGGCTAAGCCATGTCTAAGCCGATCAAGTCACTTGGAACTGGACAAGTTTTGGACCCGAGCTTGAGTCGGATCCGACCAAGGTGGGAGTTCTCCCGGGACTGCTGCGGATGCAGGCTGTGGAGCAGTGTTGCCAGGCCACTCGGGGTTTCTGTGGGGGGGGTGCTCGGTGCTCGGTGCTCTGCATGCGGAACAAGTGAGCAGTTCGTCAGGAGCGGCTGACCTGGACTCAAAGAGGCCTGGGAGCTCGACTTGGAGCCTCCTCCTCCTCTCGACGCGAAAGACACTCCTCATTTTAAGATTATAACAATGGATAACGCCTGAGAGGCATCCCGTTATTCGCGACATGCTCACCGCAATTGAGGTTGCTTCTTGCATCCGTCTCCATTGCTTCTCGTCCATTTTCTGATCAGCTTTGTAGACGGTCGTCACGCCTGTTTCTCTCTATGTTGCTGCTGCCAACCCTCTTTTTTCTGATAATGTTTCTGTCAGTAGGGCCAGGTGTCAATCCACACTCGCGGCCTGGCAAAAAGTCGAAGCCAAGCCATTTGTTTCAGAGATCGCAGGCTGTCAGTCGTTCAGCGTCGATCCTTGCTGGCACTGCCCCGATCCTAGCACATCTGACAGCACCTTGAACATGTTGGGTGGGGATGCGCCTCTACACTTCAAGGCGGCAGCATCTTCTCAGCAGCTTGGGCTACGTGTTCTCGGATGATACAGCAGTGGCCCCTACGCCCTACTCGTAGTTTTCCAATCCTGACCGCAAAAGATCTCTGCCTCGAGGCATCCTCGGCTTTGCAGTTCGTCCTGACACCTGCCACCCTGCAGCGGCTCTGAGAGCTCGTTGCAGATCTGAGGGAGGCCGCGAGACCGCTGCAGCCGCTGCGAATCTCAGGACGCGCTTCAGGCCGAAATGGCAGCCCGATGCTGCCATCGCTCCTTCGGCCGTCGGCATCCGAGCCTGGGATTTGCGAGCGCAGCAGAGAGTGGAGAAGCCCAGGCCCTGGTAGCCACAAGTGGATTCGTGTGTGCGTGGGACTTGGGGGCCTTGCGGGCGGAGCGGCAACTTTCGTGTCGAAGCTTGGGACTACGGCTGGAGGCCTGGGGGCTGAATTTATGTGCTACGGCCGCGACCACCTCGAGCCTGCACCTGATTCTTCCGAGGGCAGAGCATTAGCGGGGGAAGGGAAGTCTAGAATTCAGGAGGCTTCGCTGCGTGTGATTGACGGATTTCGGGCTTGGGTGGCCACACTCGAGCTAGGATTCCGAGTCCTATCTTGAAAGTATGTTCCGAGGTGTGCACAACTTCAAGCTGCACCACTCGCTGCTTCAGGGTCTGGCAGGCTGCGGCGGAACTCTGGCGACAGTTTGTGGAAGATGAAAGTGGCCGCAAGCCCGCCGCAGGCTCATGCTTCGAAGCTGCTGCGTCCACAGAGAATGATGAGGACCAGCATTGTGCGACTCGGGCGTGTGTGGAGAAGTCTGCATGCTAGGACTGGCCTGCCTGCTGCCACTTCCTAGCAGTGCTCACCCGAGCATGTTGAGCAACCATCGAGTATCTTCCAGTGGTGGTGATATTTGTTTTGTGTTTGTTTTAGTCGGGGCGGTTGTGTGTGTGTGTCTTTTTTTAACTACGTTTCCAGTTTGGATTAAGCAGGCAAGCAGGCAAGCCAGCCAGCCGGGAAGGAAGGAAGGAAGCAAGCAAGCCACGAAGCACGCAAGCAAGGAGGCAAGGAAGCAAGGAAGGAAGCAAGCAAGCAACAATAACAAGCAAGGGAGCAAGCGAGCAAGCAAGCGAGCAAGCAAGCAGGCAAGCACGCAGCCACGCAAGCTCGCAAGTACGCAAGCACTCAAACACGCAAGCACACAAGCAAGCCAGCATGCAGGCAAGGAAGGTAGAAGGAAGGAAGGAAAGAAGGAAATAAACAAGCAAACAAGCAAACAAGAAAACAAGCAACCGAGCACTCAAGCAAACAAGCACGCAGGCAAGCAAGCACGCAGGCAAGCAATAAAGGGAGCAAGCAATAAAGGGAGCAAGCAAGCAAGCGCGCAAGTGCGCAAGCAGGCGCGCAGGCACGCGGGCAGGCTGGCAAGCAAAACACGCCTTTCTCTTCATCGCATGTCGTCACATGCTTGTTTGTAAGCTGTAAGGCAAGCCTGTCTCTGAAGACCGGCTTGCGGAAAACTGCAAGGGGGCTGAGGTGAGAAAGAAGCGGCACCAGAGCCACGGGAGACAGGCTTTGAAGGGATGAAGGAGTGAGGTGGTGGGTTTCTAGATGTGGACTATCAGGATCAGGATTATGTGATCAGTTGCTGAGCTGGAACCGTACGAAAACCCTTAACTGTCGTAACCCAACCGAAGACCTTGCAGCTGAAACAAGCCCTGCTAATGCAATACATGAGGTTTCCTTCGTGTACAGGCCACTTTGTATAAATGCCATAGTTTCAGTAGGTAAAGTAGCATACGCAAGGAAAGCCGATGAAGAGCCGCACGACAAAGCAACAAAACCCCAACACGCTCAACTTATCTGGCGGCCGTCTTTGGTCCAAGGTTTCAATCACCACGAAGAGCTAGTTAAAACCTTACCTGCTGCTGAAAAGCGCTTTCAATCGCAGGAATGTCTAGGTTTCCCAGTACTGGTAGATCGCTGCCTTTGGTTAGGTAGAAGGTTAAGCGGTGGGGAAACCGACTCAGGTCCAATTCCACGGCTTGCAGCTCCTACTCGAAGAGAGAGGCTGCGACACAGCCCGCAAAGGGCTGTTTGCTTCTCGGCCCGTCTGCCCGTCCAGGCGTGGTCGAAGGGCCCCTGTGCTCTGCACGGCGCTTGGGAAAGCGCTTTGCATCTATCGGGGGGGAACGGGCCATTCCTGACGATTTACGGCGTCAGATCAAAGAATCAGCACAGAGGAGCGCAGGCCCACGGGCCCTCAGGAAGCTGTGCAACTTTCGAGTCTTTGCTCCTGCCGAGGCCGAGCAAACATTGCTGGCTGTGGGCACTGCGCTCGGCGATGAGGCCACAGCTTTCATTTTCATTCATCTCAAGTAAGCACGCGTTTGGGCAGGCATCGGCCCCAAAGCTTGTCGCTTTCGCTGACCGGGTCCGAGAGCTCCACGAAGCCTTGGCCCGCGAGCATGGCGAGGCAACCTGCCGCCCCCCCCCCCCCCCCCCCGCGCCGCAAAGCACCTGTCTGCAGTTGGGCGCTTGTGTCATTGGTCTTTGCATCTTGTCCTGGCGCTAGGCATCTGAGTCCCAGCAGCTACAAGGATCCCGCACTTTGCAGTGGGCTTGGGACAAGATTGGAAGGCACTGAAACACACCGGCGGCACCCGATTCAGGGATGAAGTGCAAGTCGTGTCAGTCACTGGGAACCTGACAGCATCGTGCGTTCAGATCGGTTCTGTGGCGCGAGCGAGGACTTGAATGGCCCTTGTCGTTTCCAGAGATTCTGAGTGCTTTTGCGCCCGACGCTCAGATTGCGGCGACATTGTAATGGAGGTGAATCTTTGGAGCAGTTGCTTTTCTGAGAAATCTCGCTGAGGCTGCCTGCCCTGGTGCAGCTAGAGACCGTCTGCAGACGGCGAGAGGCCTGGCTCAAGCCCCCGGAGTGGAACTCTGGTTTGCCGTTGCAGTGGGTTGGGATTGCAATTGGATTGCAACCCGCAGGTCATGTCGGCAGCAGATGCCACCGCAGCTTGTGGTGCTGTCTGGGTAGCATGCTTGGACCGGCTCCCTGGTAGCGCTGCCATGCACTTCGCCCCTCTCCAAGGCTCGGAGCGCTCTCTGGAGGCTTCACTCAGGTGGGGGTGTCTTAGTGTCAGGGGCCGAGCATAAGTCGTTCGTATTGAGGCTGCGCCATCGGCTGAAAACGCCTGAGAGACACCAAGTCACCAAGGCCAGGGGGCCTCGACGCATCAGAGGCCGCGTCCCAGCTCTGTCAAGACGGCCTCGCCCTCAGCTCTCAAAAAGGCTTTTGACGCGAGCATGCCCGCGACGGCTCCGTTGCGGACAGGTCGGAGACGAGCCGAGGATCTCGAACGAGAAGTCGGCACAAGAGTGCTGGAGGATCCCGGAAGATCCGTGCTTGTGCTGCGTTTCAAGCCGAAGCGGTCAAAATAGTGTGGATCTTCTCACCATATGCCTGGCCAGCGATGGAAGCAGGAGCTAGTTGTCGACGGCCACCTTGGGGACTTGGAGCCCGCTGCTGCGGATGCCGATGCAGAGGAGATTTGCCTGAAGAACTCTTTACCAGTGCCAGTATCTAGCAGTATTTGAGACTACTCTGGAGCTCTGGATGCTCCAGCTGATTGGCAGATTTCCCGTTGCAAACTTCACGGTGCTTTCTCGAGGCTGCTGCTTGGCGCCGCGAGGCTTCGGAACTCCAAAGGCGCCGAGGGGATCGCGAAAGATGCAAGGAGGATTTCTCACCGGGCGCCGGAAGAGCATGCCTTCCTGCACTCTATCTTCCACGAATTAGAATCTTTCGAACTGGGTCTTGACAAGGCTTTGTCGACTCCGCCCGCCGCTGGCGGGGGCCTCGCCACCTTGGCTGCCTGACCTGCGTGGAGACCCAGGATCGAGCGGGCTTGTCTGTTTGGGCAGAGAACCATTCCCAAGTTCCTTCTTTTCGATGCTTTCGCTGAGCCAGACCGCATCGAAATAGTCAAACTACCCGATGTCTGAGATCCCCGTTCAGATACCAGTTGTTCCAGCTGGGCACATCGGACCTGACTGCTAGAAGTCCACTTGATGCCATAAATCGGTGTCGGCAGCGCTTTCCAGCCATTTCATCGATGTCTGAGATCCCCGTTCAGATACCAGTTGTTCCAGCTGGGCACATCGGACCTGACTGCTAGAAGTCCACTTGATGCCATAAATCGGTGTCGGCAGCGCTTTCCAGCCATTTCATCGATGCCCGCAAACAAGAACTAACATATCTCTGAATCTGGAGTCTGCGTGCAGATCGTCCCACTGTTTAATTCCGTGGTTGTAGTGTGTGTCTGTGTGTGTGTTGCACATAGATGAGAACGCTCGCGAGCCGGTGTTGATGCGGACTTGCTTCGAGCGTTGCTTTGACGCTGAGGCCGAGCATTCACACAGTCTCATCAGTGGGGTACTTGGTTACAGAACTTTTGGCACTGCACGGATCGTGTTCTGGTTCTTGTCGCTGAAGCTTGAAGCGAGATCTTAGAAGGACGGGTCTGACCGGTCGTATTCAGATTGGCTCAGCAGCGGCAGGAAGCCTTGCCCTAGTCCCCCGTGGTTTGGGTGTTGCTCTACTTTCAGAGATTGTGAGGGTACACGTGGCTACTCATTCTTCACAAGTAGCAGCGAACACCTGAACCTTGGGTTTTACATTTCGTCCACCATGGCAGCTGTCGATGCTGGGCTGCATTGCTTGACGGACCCTGGCAGATGTTTGTGCTACACTCGTTGTGTGGATGTTGCTCGAAGGATCATGCTTACGACGTCGAGGATGACCTCGACCTGATTTCTCCCAGAATGCGCATGCAGAAGCATGAGGCGTGAAGGGCCCTACCCCTACCACGACCAATCACAGCTCAAACTATACCTTTGTGATCTGCAGCGAGCCTTGGCTGTGCGGCGTCATGTCCTCAGGACTGGTTGATTTCGACCAGTTTGGAGCCGCTTCGGGACAGCTTCGAGGACAGTGGCCAGGATGCAAGCTTGACAGCCAGAACAGTCTGCTCACTCACCTGCACACCTTCACGCCGTAGCATTCGGCGACCAATGTCCTAAGGCAGCTTTCAACAGCTTCTGCATCAATTCGCGGCCGAACATGCTCAAGACTTTCTGGCGCTGTGGCCAGATGGATCCCACCCGTTGCTGCTCGACTGCAAGATCGAAAATCCCGCATTCGAAACGGGCGGCATCGCAGTTTGGGTGCAGCGCAGCCCCAAGGTTGTGGACTTTGCGTGGTGGGCTCGGCTGTTTTGCACGTACGTAGGAGAGCCAAAGAACAAAAGCAGCGGTGATTCTTACCGTCGCTCCCAAGGGCACCAAGAGTACAAGGAACTTTTCGAGTCACAGCTTGAGCAACTTGGAGAAGTCATGGCTAGAAGCTGTTCTTCACTGTTTTGATGGCTTCTCTTTGCTGAGGAAGACTCTCGCTCACATCGGGATGACCAGGGCAGCTGAGTTGAAGAATCACTTACTAGTTCTTTATGGTTTTCTGATTAACAGATGCCTTTGCAAATACCGGCTTGAATTCTGCCGACCTACGTACATGAGGACAGTTTCCAATCTGCGATGCGACACCTACAAGATGTACGAGCATCTCTGGGTGACATGCAGGCAGAATTAGAATGCGGTCTCTTCCTGGCAAGGCATGTTTGAAGCCTTTGTTCGCTTTGCCAGGCAGACCTGGACTCCTTCCTGAAGAGCCTTACAGCTGCTGATGAGTACAATGCCTTCTTGCAGGCTCTTGATTGATACAATCTTGCAGATCGTGTTTTGGCTCTATAAATCTCCTGACTCCGGTTGGTGAGGTCATGCTGACCGAAGTCTACAAGCAGCAGGACTGGTCTTAATTTGCGCACGCCACTTGCAACTTGCATCGTGAGAGTGAGGCTTGACGTGTGTTGCCGCCAAATTTGTTGATCCAAAAACATCTTCGCATCACAGTGTGACTAGTGTGCCCATTTGCTCTCTTCGCACTTATTGGCTGCAGAGGAGGCCGGCCTTGTCAGTGCGGCTGTCCCAGACAGCGAGCAGATTGAGGCGAGGTCTTCGCCTTGCAGTCTTTACTGTGGTGTCAATCTTACTGACCAGGTCACTGTTCCTTCTGGCCATGGAGGCATTGCCGTGCAACGCCAATGTTTCGAGTGCTTCAGACCGTAATGCGACACTTGAACTTGGCTTCTTCTGTCGACGACGTACCTCCCAGGCTATGCTGCTGCGTCTGTGCCCGTGGAATATCAAGGCAGATCACAGCGAATCACAGTGACAGACACACAGGGATGGTTGAGAGGCTTCTTCCAGGCATAGGTGCCGTTGAAATTAGGTTGATTTTAGTGTTGATGGGTGGCAAAGCTTTGTGCAGGGCACCGTGCTCATGCGAGAAAGCCGAATGCACTTGGCTGCCTGAGGCTACCAATACGACGTGCCCATCCCTTGCGGCTACAGTCTTGGGCTTAGCCCCTATCTCCGCAGGCTCACGGCCAAAACGGGAGGGCCTGAAGCAAGTTGGCTTCCGGGTTGATTTTTCATACCCATTCTCACTGGATGCGCCGTGTTCGTGCGGCTGAGGTGCTGGTATGTCGTTCCACGTGTCCGTCGTGGTGCCACCTCCGAACTAAGCCATGTTGGCTCCACACTCAGATGGTACGAAACAGCATACCGGCCCTTACACTGTTCGACACCATGTCCCTTTAAAGTGGCTGTCTGCTTGGCCGAAAGGAAATAGCTAGGCCCTCTATGCAAGTTCCTCGACGAGGTCCTATGGCAGCGTCTGCACAGCAGTGCCGAGCCTCGCCAAATTTAAATCAGTTGAGCCAAGCTGCTTAACTTTGGCCTGTAGTGACGGTCAGCACAGTTGTTTGTTTTATGTGGCGCCCTTAAGCGTGCGGCATGTGTTGAAATCCACCTTTAGGAACCGGAGGTGGCCGCTTTGCAGAGGCATCCAAGGGTAGGTGTAGATTTTGTGCACATGGGTGGCCGAAAGGCGTCGCTGTAAGCTTCAAGCCTGCCTGTCAGCAGTTTGGACATGCTGATGGAAGCAAGATGGCAGCAACGATCATGAAGTGCCAAACTTGACGAGTTTCAACTCTGAGACTTGTGTTCTTCTGATACACTCCTTGGTAACTAGTGAAACCCTCGATGCCAGGATTGCCGGGACTGATATCACCACAGACAGAGTAACGACTCGACGGTGCTTTCTCAGCATAGTTGATTTTTTTTATTCAGTCTTCGGTGGTGATGCGATTTCCGAACAACGGAAGGTGACACGCCTTCTAACCGCCTGTCCAGTCCGCTCAGCAGGGCGGCAGAAATGTTGCACTAACCTGCGACATGTGTGCTCATATCGTGTGTTCAACGATGTCTAACCTGCGGCATGTGTGCGGAGTATTCCAATTGCAGAAGAAAGCAACTTTGCCTCAACTCCGGGACTTTGAACTCAGACGGCGTTTCGAAACGCCAACATGTTGCAGGCATGGTGGGATGGGCACGTAGGCTGGACGATCGAGTATCGGAGTCGCCCAAACTTTTGGTTCTAGTCCTCGCTTATTACAGACTCTGGGGATCTCCCTTCCTGACCTACGGTGAGAGACTGCCGCCGTTTCGACTTCCGAGTTTTGGCCACTGCAATGACTGTCTTGCATCAGCCGTGCACCCAGGTCCTTTATTGGGAGATGTGATGCGTGGGGCTTTATGACTGTGAACCGCAGTCAGAGCTATCTGATTGCTGTTGGGCCAGGATGCACTGCTCCCACATTGACATTCAGGCCAGGCTACTAGATTATCCTCCGGAAAAGAGCTCTTAAGGGGCTCCAGATTTGGCAGTGCTCCACTGGGCAGCTCATGCAGTAAGCCGTTGGCTGCCGTTTTATCTCACCGGTGCTGTGGCCCAGCCACAGTGCCTGTTTTTGCCATTCCGCGGAACACATCGCGGTGTCTCTCTCCGGCAGGGTTCCCGTCTGCCACAATTCAAGTCAGTCCAAGAGAAGCCCATACTCTGCGAGAGACGCTGCCCCACTTACAGGCTGGAGAAATCCTGGGTCTGGGTGCTAAGGCTTACGTCTTAAGTTCAATGTCGTGAAGTGGAAATGACAGCGCGATTTCAGGATTCCTTCAGCAGGCTGAGACCGCAGCACGGTGTTGGTGTTGCTTCGATGAGTTCTGTCTGGACCGCCGGGCTACCATCTTGCGAGACTAGCTATCAAGAAGGGATTCTGACATGTGACTGTGAAGGGCGTGGCCCAGTGACCAGTGTACAAATCTTCCGGCAGATCAGTCCGCCTTGGCCTGCTCGCACACCGTGCACATCGTTTCTTTCGTGTCTTGTGCTTTCCTATCGGAGGTATATCACCTTGACACCATATCAGTAGGTGAAGTTTCTGTAACAAGTCTCGCCGTCACCGAATGGTGGGCCGTGCTAGCGGGTCAGGCGGCATGCGAACCAGTCGAAAGACTAACCGCTCAGTGCTGTACAGCCTGCACCCGTAGATCGCAATGGCTTCGGACCAGAAATGTGAACTTCATATGCTCACAGCTTCATCCAAACTGACTCGAACATGACGGTGCGGCTGATTGTCTTTGCGACGGAGGCCACAGGTCAGCAGCCGCCCAGCTACCAGGCCACAGCACCTAACTTCCGAGAAGTGCCCAGCCACGAGCTGCGCTGGGCAGTTTGGTAGTTGAATAGCTTAGGGTCTGCTAGGCTGCAGACATACAACTTCAGGGGTTGACCCCGTCTCCGCGTACAAGACGCGTGTCTCCTGGTTCCTAGAGTACGTTCGGAATCCCTGCAGTGACATAGCACATGACATATTCCGAGCCGCAGCTTGCGGCCGCGAAGCTCAATCGAACAGTGCACAGGATGTCTGCCAAGAGGTCGCTGCTTTCGTTACGGCTGTCGAGCCCTTGAGATATGGACATGTGCAAGCCGTCGAATGCCCGCAGATTGATCGATTTCAGGTCTGCCAGCCGGATAGGGTGTCCCTGCCCCGGCTCGCCCCAAAGAGTTGGTGTCCTTCTGACCTAGAGTTTGTGTTGGCCGTGAGGCAGCGGATCCTTCCGAACCCCGCACCGGGCCAAGCCGAAAGGGGTTGCAAAGCTGTGAGGTTGTGTCTGGGTCTCAGAGGAAGCCGCGCCAGACCCTTCCGCCATGTCGGAGCTCCAGAATCTCTCCAGCCGCTCAGAACGCAGCTCCGTTGTGGCGATGGGACACAAAGACTTTAGCTTTTGCCGACCTGGGATTCTCAGGCTCTGCAGCGGGCTTTGCTGCGATCTTAGGAATGCTTCTTTCCTGTGCTCCTGCAGCCCACAAGTGTGGCTGAGGTACACAGGCTGACTTCTAGGTTTCCGCTGCATGCTGATCTTGCTGGGCCAGTGGTTTTGGCAGTGCAGGCGCGACTGAAAATCCGTCTCGCACCCTGGCACTGCGCAATCTGCACCCTGCAAGCAACCCAGGCGCTTGTTCACGGACTCCAACTACTGCCAGCAGCTGACATTTTTAGTGTGCAGTTTGGGCTTTGTTACAAAGCCGGAGCGTGGCTCACTGCGTCGAGGCACCGCCATCTGTGGCAGCACCAGTCAGCATCTGCTCTCGCGGCTCTGTGCTCGGACTATACGGCAGATGTGCGCTCGTCGTCGCTTCTGAGCAAATGTACACAATCTCATGACAATGAGGCTGCGGCTGCGGGCATTGCAGATGCTCCGCAAGCTCCGGCGAGTGAGCCGGGAGGCTGGTTCCAGCCCTTGGACATGCTTCTTTTCGAAGTGGGATCAGACTGGACACGTGCTGCTCGGCGTTGCCGTCCTTGCAGGTCTGCAGGCAGCGCTGGGCGTGGAGGCACGGACGATTCATTGCTTGCTTTGGCTTCCCGAGATCGAGAGGGAAGATCTCGACTAGCAGCAAAGCACATTGGCGATTCCAAGGTAATGCTTTAGGTCCTTTAGGTCGTTGCACCGGAATGAAGTTGGTCCTTCGATGCTTCGCGAGACGAGCCTGATAAGCCCAGTTACACTAAGCAGCTGCAAGAGCTCCGAGATGACACTTCTGACTCGCGTCGACCGTAGCTGCCGTGCAGGTGGACGAAGCTTTGGACAATCCAGAGGTTCTTTGTTGGTGGCTCCGCAGCAGCCTGAGAGATTCATGTTTCAGCGTCATATGTCTGAAAGCTCCCACTAGCGGCCTTACGGCTTACCTCCTGAGCGCAATGATATCCTTCAGGCTGGTCAACCCTCTCACGGCGAGCTTCTCTGCAGTCTCCGCCTCCACAAACTGCCGCGAGCCAAGTGTTGGACCAGTGGAAACCGGTGGGCGCATTCAGTGACAAATCAGCAGAGGCTCTGCAGATGCTGAGAAGGCTCAGCATCCTCCATCAGGAAGACGAGAATCTCCGAGTGGTTCACCCAGAATGGATCCCAGCTGTGCCGAATTGACAACTTGCTCTCAAAGGCCAAGGAGGACATTGATGCAATCACGCCCTTCAAACTCGCAAAGGCGAGCGAGTCCAACGTGCCGGAGGCTCGCGTTTGCTCAAGCCGTGTACCGTAGGCAAAGGCCGAGGAGAACGCGGAGGACGAGGAGCTGGGGCGCAAGCAAGAGATGCTCTTCCCAGGCCCGGACCGGGCTTGGGGGCTTCTTCCCGCGTTTCCCGCTTCTTGATGCGTCGAGAAAGCTCGGAGGCGAGGACCAGGTGGAAGCCTTGGCGGCCTTGGGCCTGAACGAGGACACTTTCTAGCACTCCTGGACTCCTGGCTTGGCTTTGCTTCCGGCTTTGCCTGGCAAGGACGGCACGGCAGAGACGGAAGGCCTCGGCCTTCAGCAAACTGCTGGACGGTCCAAGAGAAGTCCCGGGATGTCGCGGGGGATTCCGGAGGCGATGGCGCCATCACCGGCGGCAGCAGCCTCTATGACCTCTGGTCCAGCGAGGCCCGGCTCTAGTCTCCCCTTCTCCCCTCCGAGTGCAGAAACCTTCGGAGCAGGCAGAGACCAAGAAGAAGGCCACGGCCAAGGCCGCTGAAGGCCAAGCCCCAAAGTCCAGCGCCGAGCGGGCTGTGGGAGAGGCCTCAAAGCTGCAGAAATCAGCAGTGCCAAAGTCGTATCTTATCTCAGGTTCCATCTGCAGCCACAGCAACTTGCCGACATCTGCCATCTCAGCCGCATCCCGAGCATCCTACCGTGGAAGCGTGCTGTTCAAGTGATGGGCCGTTAGAGAGCTCCAAGGAGCAAGGAGCTCTGAGGCTTTGCCTGTAGTTGTGGACACTTCCGCAAGGCCTGGAGTGCTTCGGGGACGAGCCCCTCGGAGTACAGGAGGCAGCTTGCATTTCGTGAATCAGATGGAGTTCGATCAAGCTTCTGCTCTTTGCCGGCTTTTCGATCGGGGTCCAGCGGTCACTCGGATCAGGCTGACGAGCTGCGCCTGGATTCCCTGGATGCTTCCTTGGAAATCTTTGTTCGCCGGAGCCTAACTGCTGGAAGCCGGCTCTTCTGGTTTCGAATTCTGGTTGCTCGACGGCCGGCCGGGACTTGTGAGCTGCAGAAACCGGGAGGAAGCTCATGCAGCAGAGGGGCAGCCAAGAAGGTAGAGTCAAGCAAAGTCCTTCCCTCTTTGTGAATGATTTCCTCGTGATACGAAGCATCGTCGGCTCATACACTACTACAAGAGGTAGAAGCGCGTGAGCAGTCCGAGGCCTCTGTGTTTGCGGCCTGGCAAACGATCGCACGACGACGACTCTCTTGCCGCTTGTCCGACAAGATGCCCCAATTCAACCTGCCGGTCAGCAATTTTATCGTCGTCTAGCTTATGTTGATGTGCTCCTCAAGGCCGGCCGCAGTCGCTCGGAGACTGTCCCCCCTGGTCATGTCGGGGGCCGAGCCACAAGTCCGCCTAAGTCCCTGACAGTGATCCGCGAGGTTGCGACTGCTGCGAACGGCCAAACAGTTGCAGCCCGGGGCCGAGCCCGGGATTTCCCGGCTGAGCCTTGTCTCGCTAAGGCGAGGGATGCAAGGCCCCCCTCCCCTTTTGCTTTCGCTTTCTTGCGCAAAGGCCCGGGCCGAGCGTCTTGACAGATGTGGCCGACCTGCCTCGCTTCCGCTGCGTCGATTCTGCGCTCTTCGGGGGGTGGGGCCGTGGCCGTGGTGGCCGTGGCGGCCGTGGCAGGAGAGTATCGGCCAGAAGCGCACGGCAGCCGAGGCTCGGAGAAGCTCGGCTCTCGGTTGCTCTGAGCGACATGCATTGCACGCGAGTCACACTGGCACCAGACTGTCATGGATCGTTGTTTCTACGTCACGGAGGTCTGCACTCTGCAGCAGCTTCCGCATTTTATGCTGAGAGCAGCGTGTCTCCCGGACATGTTGAACATTATTACAGCACTGCACTGCGCTGCATTGCTGGAGCTGAGGCCCTGCTATTCTGTTGCAGCTGGCTGTGCCCTGGCATGCAATCAAATGACACGCGACCTGGACCTAGCTGCTGGAGTCTGCGCAACAGAGATCCCTCTTCAGGCTCCCCTGGCTGCCTTGCTGGCTCGGGTGCGAGATCTTCTGGTGCCAGCCCTAGACCCACTCGAAGGAGGTCGTGTGCACCGTTTACTCAACTCCGTTCATCTCCGTTAATCGAGGCTCAGTTCGAAGAACACCCCTCCCTTCTGGCAATCTCAGGCTTTGCAAGGGGTTGCAGATTCTTGCAGGCTTCAGAGTGGAAAACGTTGACAAAAGCGTGAATGCTCCGGTCCAGTCGGTTCACAGACTGCACAGGCCTTGTTGAAAAGATGATGGCCTTGAATCTGCTGCAGCTGGAGCCCCAATGCACCCGCAGTCTTCTGAGCTGTTAGGCGACAGCGCATCTGCTCAGGACGACACCAATGGGCATCGTCACGATGCTGGAGCTGCTCTTGGGGCGAGTGACAGCTAGTGGCCTACAGCTTTGAAAAATCGCCAGTTTTCATGGAATGACTGAGTAGACGGGTACGCAAGTTCTCCTGCAACTACACCTTCGCAGTACCATGCTTTGAGGTCTGGGAGGAAGCTGCCAGCCGCCACGTCTCGCTGCAAGCGCAAACGCAGCCTCTCAAGGCCCGAGATCTCGGATTGAGATCGCGGCTTGGCCGCCGCCTTGGGCGCTGGCCTTCCGCAGGCTCTGGTCGTCAGCTTGCGCGAGCGGCAGCTGCTCGAGTGGAAAGGCTTGGGTCTGCCATCGGAAACAGGGCTCTTTGGGTAGACATCTTCACCAAGCCGCGCTCAGAGGCTTGCGGCAGATTCGCGAGCGCTTCTGGGAACGCAACGGCTCCAAGTGGTGGCTTCACCTCATCGGTTTGCTCTCGGAGGCGCGCAACCTGGAGCAATGTGTGGAACGGCAACAGACGGACTAAACGCATTGCTGCATACATGAATAAGCTTGGGTCTCCTAGGCCGTAGGCTTCTGGCACTGCAGATCATCTCGAAAAGCTTTACGGTCGTTTGGATCTCTTCCCAGGCCGCAGACTCCCGAAGCCTCAGCGATGAGCTGCTGCGCTTCATCCGCACAGCTCCACTTGGGGAATTCCGGGCCCGCGTGGGGCTTGGCCTTTGCTGGCATCGAGTCGGGGCATGGGGCTATGTATTGTGCTTTGTTCGCACAATCGCAGCAGGCGTCAATGGAGCACCAAGTTAATTATAAGCCAGCTTCTGGGATACAGTTGGGATTTCCAGTCCTGCAGAAGTAGAGTTGCTGGAGTCGGGGAGGGCAAGGTCGGAGTTTGGCACTGGGAAGGCAGGGTGGCCGTACCTTCTGCTTGGAGCGAACCCCGCTTTCTTGAACTTCTTGGCTCCCAGCTTGCCCGCGGTTCCGCCAGTTGCTCAGGCCTGCAAATGCTTCGAGCGGCAGCCCGACTCCAGATGGAGGCACCGTGGATGCTAATCTGTCCAGTCGGCAGTGCTCTTGCTGCACCCCTTACAATGCCTCGTCTCGGTATTTACAGTCGCATGCCGTCAGAGGCGGAAGGCAGCACCAGCATGACCGGGTTGGTGGCGCATCATGCTCGGCGCCCGATGGCCTGATCGTTTCTGCGGCTGCACAGCACCGGTTGCGGTTGGAAGCGAGGTATGGAACTTCAGCCGGAAATGGCTTCCCGCAGTCGAGAAAGAGCTCTCGAAAGCGCAGCAGGCAGCACGAGACCAGCAGCCGCCAGCGGCTACTGACGGCTAGTGGTCCATACGCTGTTGTCAGGCCATGGAAAAGGAAGTGCAGGACTGTCTGGGTCGCCATGGCCAGTTGCTGGATGAATGCTTTATGAGCAGAGCGTCTGCGAAACAGTCGAAATGACTTCGTGTTCGAACGGGCAGGACTTGGTCAAGATTGTGCGCTGGGACCTGTCGAACTACCATGCTTTGAAGGAGCTGTGCCGCCAGCATCGATGAAGACTTGCATCTGAAGAACTTGCACCTACATCTTTGATCACTGCATGTTGATGCACTGACATCTGCGCCCGCCTCTCCTGATAGCGAAAGTCGTCAGTTCGCATCGTTTCATTTTCATGTTTGTTTCTCCGTTTCCGGCCATCTCAGTCTGATTCATTGCTTGAAATTTTCCTTTTTTTCGTTTTGTTGACATCACAGCACTCCACCCCATGCCATCTCACCCCATGTCATTCCATGTTGATTCCACTTCATTCCAAATCCAGCCATCATTGATTCGTTGATTCATTGATTCGTTCGTTCGTGCCTGCTTATTTCATACTTTCGTTCGCTCCTTCGCTCGTTTGTTCTTTCATCGGTTCATGTCTTTGTGTGTGCTTGTAGGTTCATCGATGAACTGATCGGTTGTTTGGTGAGCGCGATGGCGATGGTGGGAAAGGCGATGGCAATGGCGTTGACGATGGTTACGGATGTTGATAACTAATCCGCAGGAAGTTGTTCTTGATTACGCTGTCGTGGTGGAGGTGGTGGCGGCGGCAGCGGTGGTGGTGGTTGTGTCGGTTGTTGCGGTCGTAGTTGTGGTTCTGGTTGTGGCTCTGGCTGGGCAATGGCGGTGGCTGTTGTTGTTGTTGTTGTTGTCGTTCTTCTTCTTCTGTTTCTCATTCTTATCCATGTTGTTTTCCTGTACCGTCTTCTTCTTCTTCTTCCTCCTGTTCTCGTGGATCTCCTTCTTATTGTTGTTCTCGTTCTTACTGCTTCTGCTTCTTCTTGTTGTTGTTGGTCTCCTTCTTACTTGTTGTGGTTCTCGTTCCTTCTTCTCCTCCTTGTTGCTGTCGTTGCTGTTGCTCTCGCTCTTGCTGTTGCTGCTCCTGCTGCTGCTTCCGCCTGCGGTTGCTGTCCAGGATTCGGCTGCGCGAAGCCACCGGCAGCTGAGCCGGGCGATCAAGCGCTTCGACGACAGCCTTCAAGAGTTTCTTGGGCCACCGAAATTATGCGATTTCGTAGTGATGCGCAGTTCAGGGTCAAAAGAGGGAGCAGAAGACGAGAGATCTCGCAGCAAGGCTGGTGGATCTTGTGCTCTCCT